CAACAGAGCTGATTTCTCCCATTAAGCTCCCAGTAAGAAGAAAAAATATTTATAGCATTTATCATCCATATCATGTATCAGATAAATGTTATCTAACCGAAGGAAGAAAGGCAAATTGAACCCGTTCTTCTCCTGAAGGAAATCCATGAGAATTGAAGGAGGGATTGTGGAAAGCCAGATTTGTCTTTTTATTTTCTGTTAAAGGTAGATGAGGAACTGCCTGAGCCTCATAATGAAAAAGGCTGAAGGAAGCACCAGCAAAGCTGCAGGAAAAGCAGTGGATGCCCTCAAAGAATAATTTACTTTGCAAGAGACCTCTGGAACTGCTCAAAGCTGCACCAGCAAGTGCTGAGGGACTGGAAATAAAGAATCCCAGAATGGTCTGGGTTGGAAGGGATCTTAAAGCTCATCCAGTTCCATGGGCAGGGACCTTCCACTGTCCCAGGGTGCTCCAGCCTGGCCTTGGACACTTCCAGTGATCCAGGGCAGCTTCTCTGGGAATTCCATCCCAGGGCTTCCCCACCCTCACAGATACGAATTCCTTACCGATCCCTGATCTAACTCTGCCTTCCTTCATCTTGAAGCCATTCCCTCTTGTCCTACAATAATTTCCTTGAAGAACTTTAAGATGAGCAACAGTTTTGTGGTAAAACCTTGGTGTCTGGATCAGACCATAGAATGCTTTGGGTTGGAAGAGACCATCCAGTTCTATGGGCAGAGACACCTTCCACTGTCCCAGGGTGCTCCAACCTGGCCTTGGACACTTCCAGTGATCCAGGGGCAGCCACAGCTTCTCTGGGAATTCCATCCCAGGGCCTTGCCATCCTCAGAGAGAAGAATTTCTTTATAAATATGACCTAAATTTCCCCTTTCAGTTTGACCCCACTGCTCCTTATCAGTTCCTTCTTCAGCCAGGTTTATCCCTAAGAAAAACAACTGCACATCTCTGGGTGAGCTTCACCACCCTCAGAGTTAAAAAAATGTTTTTTTTTTTTAATGTTTGAAGGGAATTTCCTTTGTTTCCATTCATTCCTGTTGTCTCTTGTCACTGGAGGAGGGTCTGGCTCATCTCAATATCTCCTTGTTTGCCAGGTGCTCCTGTCCCTTAACCATCACTTTCCACTTGACAGGAAATTTAAAAAAAAATCCATTACAAACATGTGTTTCCACCCCTAATGTGGGAAAACCAACTGATTGTGACAAAGAAAATAAAAATTTTTTCTTTGAGGAATAAATGAAAAATAAGATCTCTGGATCAGCAACTGTCTCCCATCATGGTCAGGAAGAAAAAGGAGAGCAGACACTGATTTTGTAGCCTCCAAGCAAAAGTGGAATGCAAAAAAATAGAAAGTTTCAAACATGGATTCTGCCTTCTTCTGCATCTGGAAAGCAGCCAGCAGCTTATACTGATAGAGGAATCACAATAAACGGAATCAATTCTTGAAATGCATCTCAAAGACTGTGATGTTCCTCTGAAATGAAAATAGTAGCAGGCCCAGAATTAAAATATAACATTTAACTGGTGTGTGTGCATATATATAGTCTTGTTCTGATCTTATTTCTTCATAGTCTCCTGTTTTCCAGCTGGAAAAGCCATATATTATCATGTTTCATATTACTGAAGGAGCTGGCAAAGAATTCAGCTCTTAACATGAGATAAAATGCCTTTGGGGGATTGGTTGGGAGAGGGAAGAAGGAAGAGGTTGAGGAATTGGGATGTGAAGGAGAATGAAATAATCCACATCCTTATTCATGTGGAATAGTTTGGGGTTGGGGGTGGATTTTTCCTTAAACTCCAACAACACCTTGCTGGAACAACCTGAGCCATATTTTGAGAGCCTGCATGGTGTCTGGAAATCAGAATACATCATCAATACATTGAATTCCCCAAGTAAAAGATAAATTTAACTGGACCACAAAAATAAAAAACAACAGCCCTATCCTCCTGCACACACTGGGAAGAAGAGACCCAGGTCAGGGATGCAGAGGACAACTGGGATATTGAATTAATTGAGTATTTAATTAATATTTATCAGTTCAGCAGCATGAGAGAAAGGAGCAGAAGCAGGGAGGTGTGACACTGAGGAGCAAACACAAGGCAGGAGTTGCACAGAAGGAAAGGAGTGCTCAGGATGAATTTGCTCTCCTGACAGGAGCTGACATCAATTCCCACCCCTCTGCTCCTCTAACAGATGCTGCTCTCAGGCCATGGCAGCACAAATCCCATCTCCACTTTCCCCCCTATTTTATCTGCAGCTTTTGGGACGCTCTCTTCCGCTCATTAATCACACATGAAATCCCTTTTTGTCCCATCCGTTCCCACCCTGCCAGAGCCCCACACTCCGGCCCCCCAGTAATCCTTGGATTGAAGACAAAAACAGCACCACCAACATCCAGAGCTCAGGGGCATCCTGAGAGCAGCAAACTCAGCAGCACTGAGCCCTTCAGCCAAATCCCAACCCTGCAGAGCATCCAGGGGCTGATCCCACCTTAGGGGACACCGGGATGGATGTTCCTCCTGGAGGAGCAGTCCCCATCCCACATCCACTTCCCACATAAGAACAGACACAGCTTCATTAAGAAAGGACTTCGTGCTGTCTCCAGATGGACTCAGCTCTCAAACACTTTTCTGTTTGTTTAAACATCAGTTTGATTCTTCAATACCAATAGTTTTATTCCTTTGACAACAGATTTACTCATCCAGGGAATCTTCCCTTTTTCCTGGAAGCAAGTGGTGCTCGTTCCTTTCCCTCAGCACTGCCCAGCTTTAGATTTGAATTAGACCAGAAATGCAGCTTTAAATCTAAAGAACTCTGCTTTAAAACACTCCTCCATTCCCAAACCAAGGCATTTTGGTGCTTGCTGTGTGGAAATGCATGGCTGAGTTCTTGGGAGAGCTCTGGAAGTCATGTTGGTTATTAGTCAGCTACTGCTGCTGAAGCAAAAAGCTGGAACACAAAGGTAAAAAAAACAGGTATGGAGGTCCTAAAAAAATAGGGAAAAAGTAACTTTTGCTTCTGAACAGAATTCCCAGGAACAAACAGCTACCTTTGGACAGCACAGACTGAAAATCCCAATTTTTAAGACCTAAATTTAATACAAAATTTAATAAGTGCTTAATACACATTTGGATGTGTGTGGGAGGACTGAGTTTAAGCTCAGCTTTACAAAGCCACGTGTTCTGTTTGCCTAACACTAAAAACCTGTTGGGACTACCCAGCTGACAGAGTCTGAGTGCCCTAAAATTAAAAGCAATCAATAGAGCAGGAAGAAGTCGCTGATACTGTGTGATCCAGCTGAGCTCAGTTCAGCTGCCAGTCCAGAGCAGCATTTCCAGCTGCTCGGAGCCCAGCAGGGGCTGTGCCTGCTGATCCACGAGGAATCATTGCTTAAGAAACATCCCCCAATCCAAGTCAGGTTGAAAAGACATACATTGCACTTTTCCTTGCTCAATGCTGGAGTGCACACACGCAGGAAACAGCATGCAGTCAATTCTGTACTTGATTTTTTATGTTATTTTGATGTAATCCTGCCTACAAGATGCCAGGCTGAAAAAGTTCAAGCTACTCAGCAGGCAGCAAATGTCCTTATCCTGCATACCTTCATTGTCTGGGCTTACTAAAATATTTTAAGGGATATAATAGTTCAAATATTTGAAGTTGTAAGAAATGTGAGCAAGATCTTCAACTCCTAAAATCAGCACAGGAATGGAGAAAGAGATGGAGACAAAGCTGCTCATTCCACCTGAGAATTCCAAGTTTGTTCCAACAGTGCAGCTGGAAAAAACTCCTATAAACCTACTTTACTACTACTTCCTTGTGTACCTTCCTCCCACCAAAAACAGGATCCAAACATGGATCCAGGCATTTATTCCATGCTGAAAAGGTGTCCCAAGTCTCCATTCAGCACAATTCTAAGCCCCCGGCACGCACTGTTTCTAACCCCATTTGCAGCACTTGCTGAATCCAGGCTCTTCACAAAAATACTTTTTATACTCAAGACAAACTTGAGATTTTGGACAACACCATCCTTGTCCTCTGCTGTGTTCCCAGGATTGTTAAACTCAGCTTGAAGGAGGAGACTGAAATCACAGACTACGCCTCAAATGCTCTTTTGGTGCTAAAATCTAAAACACCACTGGCTCTATTCTCTGCCTGAAAGTGCTCAACCACTTAAATCACCCTTGATAGGCACAAAATTCCAGTCCCCAGACAGAGAAAAGTGTGCATGAACTACCAGATTTATCCAATTTATTTAATCTGCACCCCAAACATCATCTGAAGATGGGAATTCCTGTATTTCACAGCTGGAGACTTTTCTTGCATCTCCATTAAGTGGAACAGAACAAGGCTGAAGAAGTGACAGCACCAGCTTGGCCGCAGCTCAGCACACACTGCCCCAATAAATGAGAATAATTAGGAGCTGGTAATTAATTACTCCAGTTAGGTGACAAACAAATCCTGGCATATTGGAGAAATTAGCACATTAAACCCAGACAAGACTGAGGGAGATGGGATGTGCAGAGCAGCACAGTCACATCTGGATCACTGACTCCCTCTGAAACTTTACAGCCCAAATTCCTTCATTTTTATATTAAATTTATTTTTCCAAGCCTATAAATGTTGATGTCTTTTTCCTAAATGTATACAAATGTTTAGCCCCGAGATTTTAACCTCATTCAAAGCTTCCAGGCACTACCAACAATACCAATACACTGAAATTTAAATACCATAACCAAAACCCACCAGAAGATCACATTTAGCTGTTTTGGAATAAATTGTTTTGGCTATTTAGTTAAAGTACTAAAGCTGTTTTCATGTTAAAACCACTTTTTCAGCTCTGCACACTTTCTGGAATTCACTCCGATTTTAAAATACATTACTTAAGAAAAGGATAATTATAATTTATACCTTTGTTTTAATTTTGAGATTCAAGATACTTCTAAAAATCAGTATCAAGTATCAAACTACACAGATTTACACCCACAAAATCCAACATACCCAGGACACCACTCTTCCATTGAAGCAAGGGAGCTTTGCATTGTCATCTGAGATCTCTTCCTTCACCACCCTAGAAAACAAACAAAAAAAAACAACAACAAGAAGAAAATCAGGAATTTAAAATCACATCAGATCAGAATGAACAGGAATCAAATTGTCAAGGAAAAATACAATTTTTTCATTAAAATGTTGGTATCAGCAGGTGCTGTGTGTTTAAAGAATATGTGACTGTGAGAATAGAGGAAACAAATCAAAATAAAGGGCAGAAAAACAACTTTCCAGACATCCGCCCTGAAGTGGGAGGCACAAAAGTAATTTCAAACATTTTCCCATTTTGGAGTCTCCCCAAAGCCTTTAAAGGTCTGATGGGGACCAAAGTCTCCCCTGTGCAGTCTTTGTGTCAGAGATTTCATATTTGTAACAGAAACAGCTTCCTGGCCTCAAATTCACTGCGGAACAGGCACAAATTTGGTTTTGACAGTCTGAAGCCTGAAGTCTCCTCCAACTCCACCAAAATGTGTGGATCCATAAGCATATTTTCCTTTATGTTTTTGTCCTGTTGCTGTGTGAAGAAAAACCACAATAACCACAAAGCAACTCACAGAGTATAAAACAGTGCCATTTTGAGGGGGGACTGGTAAGGAGGGGGAAGAGAGCAAATGGACAGCTTTTGAAAAATTACAAATAAATAACTCCACTAATGCCTGCATTCCCACGTATTTTAAAGAATGAGGACCTTCTTTTTTTTTTCTCCACACTTATTTGCATTGTTAATGACTGGCAAGCCAATATTAGGCAATCTTCATCCCTTATTTTTCTATTATTGGAAAGAAAAACGTTGCAAAATATTCACTTAATTCCTAAAACATCTGCCCTCCCTTCATCCTTTGGCAGCAGGAATCAGATCATATGATTCCATTATTGGTTTTAGTCATTCATCCTCAGACTCCAAGGAGACAATTAAGAGCAAACTCCATTAAAAGCAGATACTCAGGGCTTTAAAAACCTTTTACAATTCAGTGAAGCTCTCAAACCTGTAATTCTGGAGCTGCAAACCCGGGATTTCAACACTCTCCTGGATCTCCAGCCCAAATGGACAGACTGGAATCCAGGCATTATCTTTTGTGTTCCACCGAGCCCTGCAGGGAACACTCACTCAGCAGAGCTCTAGCTGCTGGATCAGCAGAGAAAGATGCTGCAATAATTTTATCTTCACATTTGAAAGGGCAGGATCTGCAGGAAATGACACTTAGGGCATCCCAGAAATCCCAGGCGAGAATTCCTGCACCAAGCAAGAATCGTATACGGAATTTCTGCGCCCTGCAAAAATCACACACAGAATTTCTGCACACAGCTTTAGGATTCAGGCAGAAAACAGGCATTAAAACCTGCACTGAATGTGGTGTTCTGTGCAGAGAAAAAGCTTGGGGGACTGTCTGAACCTGACCCAGTGAGGAGCTCCCTGCAGTTCTGCACTGACCGGTTCAGCCGCCCTTGTGATGGAGAAGGAGCTCCCTGGACTCATCAGGACAAACCCAGCCCAGCTCCAGCCTTTGCTGCAGCTGAAGGGAACAACTTCCAGATCTGTTGCAACTTGAAAGTACTAAATATAGCCCTGAGCTATGAGGCAAGAGAATGGCAGACTGTAATTCCCAGCTTGCTTTGGGTAGCGACTGGCAGTGCCAAGAACATCAAAGAGGGCAGCAGCCACTCGTGGCAAATACCACCGTTTTACAAATCATTATTTGTAGTAAAGAGGCGGCTCCTTTCCATCCCCAGCAAAGAGACAGAAGGCAAAAACGAGGGATTTGAATGGTTGCAGCCATTTGCTTCAGTCTGAGGCCAACTTTGCGAAAACGAGATGCTGTTTGTCTGCATGGATTTCGAAGGGAGGGCAGAGGGAGGCACGTGCTGCTGCCTGCTTTGGGAACATACAAAATATTTGGAATTAATACACAGCAGCTGGAAATCAGGGTGGAGATCTAAGTTCACAACCTGGACCCAACCCAAAACAGCATGGAAGGAAAAAATTGTGATTTCTCCCAGAGACCTCTTCCTGAGGTGAAGAATATTGGCATTGGATGTGGCCCACTCTGGAGAGAAATCACCAGAGCTCTCAAACTGATTGTTAATGGACTCACTGTTTGAAAATATGACCAAAGACCATCTGATAGCAAGGCACAGAAAAGGGGATGTTTATCCTCTTTCAGAAAAGGGGTATTTGATTCCCAGGTCATGTCCTGGCTGTTGGCAGCCCTGTGCCTGGGGAAGGTTGGAAGGCTCAGAGCCCCAGTTCCAGCACACACAAGCTCGTGTTTAACTTGGGCTGGGACTCCCTGGGTCAGGGAGAGGAGAGCAAACAAACACCTGGCCACAGAGGTACCACTCAGGGAACAAAGCTGACATTTCCAGGTCACTGCAGGTCTGCCTGCCCAGCTCCCACCTCCACACCTCTGCCCCTTGGAAAGGGAGAGCCCAGCACTCCAACAATTTAGAGATTTTTCTTCAATATTCACAGACTTGTAACATCTCCCTCTTTACTGCAGTCCAGAAAAATCTCCATGCATGAAATATCCTTTAATTCATCCTTCAAATGCAACCACCAGGTGGAAGGAAGGCAAAAGAACACAAGGAGCAGCTCAGACAAGGTCACATCAGAGACAGAGCATGAAAAATACCCCACTCTTTACCCCCAAACACCTGCTCTACACCATCAGCAAAGCTCCCACATCCATGAATATCCGCAAAAAAAAAGGGTGAGGAAGTGTGGGGAAGGGGAGGAGGGAATGGCTCCACAAGCTCACATCCTCTGCTTTATTTGACTTCGAGGAGATTTAAGCACTAATTACTAAATGAAACAATCACTGCTGGTAGCAGCCCCTCCTTCCTCTGGCTTCCTGGAATTGTGTCTGGATCCTCTGGCTTTCCTACCGCACTGCTCTGCACACACAAATAGGTGTTTGTGCCTTTCCCAAACCCACGAACCCTCACACCTCACCTGTTTCTGGGATAGATTACCCTCCCAGCATCCTGAATTGTTTTCCCCCATAGAGGATCTTAGCCAGAAAACCAAGGATTGTTGAGGCTTAGCCTCCCTCTCATCCCCCTGCTAAGCTGCCTCAGAATATCCGCTGATCCCACGTGAACTGGGATATACCTGGTTCCAGGTGAACTCCACAAACCTGGAGTGGCTCTGATTCAGAAGCACTGAGATAACTGGCTATTAAAGACTACGTCTGATAGTGTTGCATTCTGATTGCATCATGCATACCTGGCAGAGACTGCATTCTCCACAATTAGCTGGGTGATTTTTCATTCCACTCGGAAAAATGAGGTTTGCAAGGAAATTCTCCTTTCCCTCCAACACCATGGACATGGGAAATGCAGGGTTGAGACAGATTCATTCCAGGTTAATGTGCACCATGACACAAACAGAGCATCTTAATGTCCTTTAGCACCAGATTAATCTCACCTTATCACTGATCATCATCAAGTCTCTTCTTAATTGTCTTTTACTGATGGGAAAAGGGGGGAGAAGCTTCATTCATTATAAACTTTCTTGGAGATCCTTAGAGAGAAGCCAAAGGCATTAACTTCTTTGTGCTAAATGTATCTTTGTTTATTCCTGTCACCTCAAAGGCAGGTAAGAGAAGATTGAGATTTTAGTTTTCCTTCACAGAATCAGGTTGGTTGGAAGATAAATCCAGGGGTCAGCTAGTCCAACCTTCACAGAGGGTTTAGGCTGCTCAGGACCATGTCCAGTCAAGTTCTGAGCATCTTCAAGGATGGATGTTCCACAACCTTTTTGGACAATTTGATTTTACTTTATGAAGCAGCAGTTTTCCAAAAAACTGTTTCAACTGGCAAAACCATAAGTAATCACATAATAGCAATTACTCAACTGGCATCGAAGGCTGCAGCTCTAAAAATAGTCTGGCTGAAGCTGATTAACTCTTCAGTGTGAATCTTTAATGAAGAATTCAGACTTCAGGGATTTTACAGCTGAGGCCACAGCACAGAGAGCCTTTAGCCACCTTCCCAGTGCAGGGAAAGAAATGAAAATAAACCCAGATGTTGAATTTACAGGGATAAACACTGGAATATAATGTGGTTTTTTTCTGGAAATAAGAAAGAGGGGAGGAGAGAAATCCCTTTGATGAGCAGAGAAACACCAGGAGCAGTGTGGGATCTGCACAAAAACCTCAGATCTCGTCTGCACCCTGCAGAGCCCCAGGCAGGAACTGTGTGGCATCATTCCCTCTCCTTCTCCAGGCTCATGCCAATCACTCCTCAAAACCTCACAGAGCCACAACTGAACCAGTATTCTCCTCTTTTTAGGCTGTTATTCCTAAACACTGTCAATGCTTTGCCTTTCCACATAGGCCCTGCCGTGCGCCAGCTCCCACATAAACCTGTCAAAAATGGGTATGAGTACGCTGCCCACAATTATGACAGAAATGACACACCCAGATACATGTAAGTGACACAACTGTGGAGCAAAACCCTCTTCAAAACCCTCTTCAAACCAAGATATGCAGCTTCAATGCAAACAAGCTCCTTCTTAGCATTTCTATAGAAATTGTAGCGAGAAACTATGTGCAATCAGTGCTGGGGAAGTCACCTCTTCCCACACAGGTGACAAACACATCAAAAACCACTTTTTCTTCATTGATGTAATGGCTGCTGCTCTGTCTCATGTTATTCTTAACCCTTTTAAAAACTGAAACCCTCCCTCTCAGTGATTCTGCCTGCAATTAACAGTGAATGCATCCATGTGTTTACACCCTGGTTATCCTTGGCCACATCTGATCTCCAGCACCACACAAAACACTTGTGCCCACAGGATTGCCTCTTCCCTGGTTTTTCTACTCCACCTTTATTCCTGCAGGCACATCTAGCACTTTGTCCTGCCAGGGATAATCCATCATTCAGGAAAACTGCAGGATGGTGGAGAGGTTTTGGTACTTTGGTCCTGCACCAGATAGTGACCTAAGCATATGAATGATGCAAGAATTATTGTGCTCCCTAGCCAAGAATCAGCCCAGATCTGCACCGATTTCAAACATTAAA